AGAGATATATGTCTGTGAAAGAGACAGGGAGAAAAAAAAAGAAAGAGAAAGAATGCAGTAGATTAATTAAAAGTGACAAAGAAGTTGCTGCTAGTGTCATCTGTTTCCAGCACTTGGCTGCCAAACACTGCAGACACATAGAGACATTAAGGTTTCTGTTTTCAACCCTGATTGCCAGGGATCCAGATGATCAGTTTGTTCCAGGATCTTCTGCAGCAGAAGCCCTATCATCTTCCCCCAAACCCTGAACTGGCATATTGACTAGGAAAATGTATTCTATAAAGATAAATGGGATATATATCACCAGAGAGGTAATATCTTCTTCTGAGGTTTAACTGAAATGCTGGTAGCCAAGGGTCTTGGAATATTAGAAAAATAATTGTATAATGAACCTCATGATCCTTTGCATTGAAACTTCACATAATGCAGAAGTGCAGATCCAGATCAATGATAGACCTAGGTGGTTAAAACCACGATTCATATTTTGAAAGGAAATCTGGATTTTTATGGGAAGAGCTAAACAAATTTACGGAGAAAATGAAAGAATCAAAAAAAGAAAACCTTGAGAGATAAATCAGATTATAACAAATACTGTATTTATCCATGGTTCAACAGACCAACCAGGCATTTAAAAAAAAAAAAATGGGGAAGGTGTAGCATATGGAGAACCATCAGATCTGTCTAATTGAAATAAAATTCACTTTCCCATAAAACATCATATCTCCTTTTAGTGCTCAGGATCTAACACTTCTTTTTTAGTACGCTCTACAGAAAGTTGCAGAAAATAAAAAAAATAAAACCTGCTTTAAGAGAAATTGGAGAGAACTTCTGAAGCAGCCTGAGAATAAGGCAGAAAAAGAGACTCCTCTTTTCACAGGGGAAGAGAACTGTGGGAGAAATACAGGTCTGATTTACGGATGTTATTAAGACCATCATGAATCATGACATCATCATCATCATCATCATCATCATAATACAACAACAACAACAACAACAACAACATCTAATTGTGTCACAAAGACACATTGCTAAATGTTTTTAAAGGATATGGCCTCATAACATCACCTCCCTCATTCCCAGCCTGCTGCAGAGGCAGCCTGAAGTCATCTTCACTGACTTTCACTGTTAGACTGGTGTTTTCCCTCTTCTCCCAACACAAGTTAATGTGTGGAGTCCTTGGTGCTCTCTGAGCTTGGTTGTTTGCTTGTAGACATTTCATTACCCAACTAGGTAATATCATCAGTGCACTCTGATGATCAGAGCATCAGTGCAACACTGATGATGTTACCTAGTTAGGTCATGAAATGTCTGCAAGCAAACAACCAAGCTCAGAGAGCACCAAGGACTCCACAGTTCAACCCTGAGCTACAAATATTCTCCAGAATATATCCTCTAGAATATATTGGAACAACTCAACATTTTTTGGTTTTTTGGGTCAGCTCCAGGATGGGAGAAATGCATCTTGTTGTGTCCTTAAGGAAGTGCCCCGAGGTTTAACTGAGAAGCCCTTTAGAGTACTTGGCTTCTTCCATTATGTTGAAGACACTTATTGTAGGGCAACTATGGGGAGATGTATTGCCTTTGTGTTGCACCCATGAATTTCCAGCAAGCATAGAATAGCTCAAAGGGAAACAGGATGCTAGACTTCATGTTGTTGTTGTTTGAGTTAGTACATCAAAAAAGTATTTGGGAGTTGATAACCCCAATTCATCAATGCAGGCCTCAAGGTTATACCATGGATATGAATGCCTTTTCTCCCCCCATCCTGTTCTTCTTCCTCTCTCTTTCTCTCTTTCCTTGGTAATTATTTATTTTGTGCTTCAAACTCACCCAAAGCTCTGCAAGACGTCAAAGGAAACAGCATTCAGCTGCAAAACGGTTATTGCTGGTCACAGGATTGCTGATATATTAAGGAGAGCAAGGATGCAGAGATTTCAGGTCACAGCAAGCAGCAGCAGTTCAGTCTTGGTCTTATTAACATGGGAAAAGAAACGGTCTTAGCTTGGGTCACTTTTAATAAAGGGAATCCAAGCAGCAAAGGTTGGAATGTGCATCTCCTTCAAAGAATGGCCCAATGACACAAGTCTGACAGTAGTTTTGACAGGTCCAACTCATCCGGAGGAAAAGTTTAGAAAGGCTGAAGTAAATTGAATAGCAATGTTTAACTATAAGATGTCTTTGGAACCCTGCTTGGTTGAAAAGAAAGGTGAAAAGCAAGTAAAATACTACCACAATGCATTTTCAACAGTTTCATACAGTGTCAAACAATTGCAAATGTAGCAAGCAAAGCCATTTTTATTTAGGGTGCATTTCAGCCTTGCAAGGTGACTATTAATCCTAGATCTCTGCAGTTTGTTCAAATCATATAAAGACTTCAGAATTCTTCTAAGCCCAGAAAATGCTGTGCCATAAAAACAAGTCACCATATTTCAATTACAGTTCAGGAAAAGCATACTGTTCCTCAGCATCTGATCCTACATTTGATATCTTTGGCAGATGGACTCCTGAGCTGACTCCATGGCAGGGTACTACATGATGGTCCATGCAGCTCTAATGGTGGCCTACAGTTGCAAGCTGCAGTCATCAAACACTGAATGGACCCTTCCGAACCAACCTGTGGAATTTCTAGGAATATATTCATTCCTTACATTTATTTCCCACCTTCCTTTCATTCTGAAACTCAGCACCATTCATGAAGCCCCCAGGTATCCTGCCTTCAGAGGCATGATCAAGGAAAGATCGGCTTAGCTTCAAGAAATCAGGGGTAGAGAACTTGTGTTTCTGCAGATGTAATAAACTACAGCCCTTCAGCATTTCTCATTACTGATGTTGCTGGAAATTGTCATTCAAGAATAAGTGGAGAGAGAAAGATGGGCTGGTATGCACAGAGATGAGGTACTACACTCAACCAATATAGACGGAAAAGGTCACTAAAATTTTAGCTGCTTTTGATGCTTGTTTCGCAAACTCTTGGCACATCACTTCAAGAGATGATGCTCAAGGGAATGCAGTCCTTAACAGAAAAAAATAAAGGGGGGCGCGGGAGGAGGTTCCTTATCCTTCAGACAGCCATTTCCAGATAGAACAGGCTAAATGGATTAATGCTCTAATCTCCTTTGAATTTCAGTTTAGGTGAAATATGATGATATTTCTTTCAACATTCTTTGGGCTGTGTCAGTGATATCTTTAATGCGCGCCACAAATAGAAAACGTGGTACGCAGGAAAATCCCTTATGGAACACAAACAAAAGGAGGGAGGGACGGAGGGACACACAAACTTGGTATTCTCCTCTCTTCTCTGTTACTCTTCACTGCTGGTAGTTGGTGCCACATTCTACTTTAACCTCTTCCTTTCCACTTCTCAGCTTGCTCAACCGCTCAGGGACCACCCAGAGACCAGGACAAAATCTATCCAGCTGCCTCAGATTTGGATGGCTTCTCCAAAATGGCAATCCAACTAAATTGCAGAGAGACTACTATCAGCCTCTAGGCACACATTTTCTCCAGCCATGCTGGAAAACCATCCACTACAAAAAGAAGGTGCTTTTTGACATCACCGAAAGTACTCCTCAAAAGCTAAAGCTTTTCAGACTAGCCCTGATTTCAATGCAGACCTGCCAAGGACCTTCACATTTTTTCAATGATTTTGCGGTGCCTGAACATAAATAGGAGAAGGGCACGCTAATAAAGAGAGGTGCTTTCTCTTGAAGAATATGTGTTGTTTTCCTCTGCTGCTCCAGGAAGCTGTTTAACAAGAAAAATAATAAATATTTTCATGCTTTTTTACATATTCCAGAGCAAACATGTTCACGATACGAAGATGGGGAAAGGCATTCCTATGCACCACTAAACCCTGGAGGAAAGATGACTCTTTCTCAAAGAATTCTAATGCCCTTCAGTAGAAACCAAGATGCACAGTGCTCAGAGTCAGCGCTTCACTCCACCTTTCCAAGAAGGTGAAGTCACAAATGGTAGAGAGGTTTAGTTCCAGGATGGACCAAGCCAGAGCTGTTGTGCAGTGTGACAACTTCGCAAGATTTCTTTTCTCTTCCAAAATGTATACTTGAAAAAAAGGCAGGCCTTTGTTTTAAAGAGATCACTGCAGTGGTGAATGCCATACAACATTAAATGTGTGTTTCATAACAGCAAAATTGCTGTAACTATTCAATGTGCAGTAGAATGTGCACAAAATGTTACAGCCAGACAATCTGCCATGTCTTCTTCTATGGGATCCATTCTGTCCCCCCATTTCCATTTTCCAAACTGTTTTCTTCCCAACTTGTCATCGTTCCTTGACTATTAACCATGTTCACTCTATTCTGAACTCTTTTAATGTTTATTTTTGTTTTAACAATTTGTACATGGATGGGTATTTTCCCATATTTCTACAACTTTGGGGTCCCCTGAACTTATTGGTATCTCATGGAGAGGGAGAACTCAATAGTAGATAGGAAATTGTGAACTAATTGCTACCAAAAATATTAATACTTTCAATTGAACACTTCTAGATTCCCTTTAGAACCCTAAAGGCTGAAGCTGGTGATGAAGCTGAGTCAGGGCAGAGTAAGGCATTTTGTAACCATGGGACCTTCGAGGCTGGGAAACAAACAGATACATGGTCCTTGATTTAAACAGGCAGAAGGAAGTGGGTCAAGATTCAAATATGGGGAGTGATGTATCTGTAGGTCAGGTTTTCTGCATGCAGCCTGATACAGAACTTTGTTCTATGTATGGCTTCTTAACAGTCTGCAATAAATCCACTGATTGTGTCTGCTTAAGGTCTAGTCTATCTGTCCAAACTTAGATGCGTGGCAAAGGGCTGGCAAAACGTAGGATCTATGGGTTCCACATCATCTTCTAGCATTCGCATCCATACCTCTTTCCTATTTCAGACTCAGCCTTGGGAGCTGTTGAACTATGTCTTGCAAAGCCAGACAGAATATCATGAAACACCAGTATAACACAATGAAAGAATGGCATCATGAATCGTAATGGGAGATTTTATGTATTTTCTGAACCAACAGGAGATGTTGAACAGTGAAGTTCTTTACAGAAAAGAAAATGCAAGGAAAAAGCTGGAAAACCTGAAACATCTACTTCACTCCAAACCTCTACCAGAAACAAAATTACCGAGACAAAGAAAAGTATGACAGTTGTCCAGCCAGGACTTTTTCTAGCCCTACCAGAAAATGTCAGGAATTGAATTGGGAGCTTTCTGCAACCAAAGTATTTGCTCATCCATGGAACCTATGCAGTGCCGTATCTCTCCATAAGAAGACACATCACTAGGAATCTGTCTCCCTTCCTTTCACTCCCCATAAAAACTGAAGACCCATTTGCAAAATACCCTCTGATACTTTTTTCCCCTCCCGCTGTTTGGTATTTTCTTCCCATTCGTTGTTGCTAATGTTTGCAATGGCAGAAGGAAAGACAGACATACCACTGGGTGGTGCAAATGGAGGTTGTAACTGCTGAGAAATGATTAAAGTATTTGACCTACCTTGAGAGGACCTGCTATAATAATCCCACCCTGCCAAAACTTTTCTGATCACAGCGAAGGTCATTTTGAAGGTATTTACACAGAGGTCTAACTGATATAGAACAAAACCCTCTCCCTCCTTCTCCTTCTATGACATTACAATATTAACAGCAAAAAGAAAGGAAAAAGGTTTGGGGGGGGGGAATCTGTATTGAAGAGCAACAGGAGCAATGTGTCTCAAGCTTTAGCTGTCACTAGCAAAGCAGCAGATGAAGTGATGACCTGTTTCCTCTTTGCTGGGGAACTTGGTGTTCAGCCCTGTTCTCTGCTTCCACTGAAGGCCCAGAGTAGTGTGGTGGGACAGGTTTGAGTCTGGCTGCTCACTGCTTAGAGACAAAAGTCTTCTTCAGAGCTGGGAAAGGGGAAGGAAGGGGTATCCATCCACCTATGTTGGCCTCTGCTTCTGCTTTCCCACTTTCAACCCTTTAAGGGACATTCCTGGATTTCTCTGTCCATGTCCCCAAAGTCTACTTCTTGGTCAGAGCAGCTATCAGTGTTATAATCCACTTCATCCCCACAAGGAAGTTCATCATCGGTCTCCAGGCTGCAGCTGTTGTTGCTTCTGCCAGAGATTCACACACACAAAGAAAACAGAACATTGAATTGGATGGAGAGGGAAGCAAAAAGATGTTCAGTTTCAACTTGTAAGGCATCCAAGCACATATTGCAAATTCTGGGCTCAGTGGATAAGGAAAAGATTAGTATAACAAAGTCAAAGCCAGCAAAAGTCACTCCTTTTATAAAACTATCCTGAGAACTAATGACTTACTTTTGGTGCCATCAGACTTGATGTTAAGGCATATTGTGAGTGGTTTATACAAACATTGTGCTGAAATCTGCCTGCAATTTCAAAAAAGTTCCCTTCCCTGGCAACAAACAAAATAACCCCAAAAACCTTCTGTTTGCTATCCCCTTCTCAAAATGTTTAAGCATTTCTTTTGAATTTTTCTTTTGATTTTTTTAAAGCTTATTTTCTCATTGGAGGTAGCAGAAATGCTAGCTCTCCATTGTTGCTTTCTGTTTCCTTCACTTGGGAGCTTCCTTGACTGCCCTCACTTTGCAATCTGAAAAAGGCCATGGGAGGAGTTCTCCATCATAATGTCTTCCTTTAGGAAGGATGGACATTCATGGAGTCCTCAGGCTGATGGAGAGAGGACTATACAGTGAAGATAGGACATCCACACACCCATTTTTGGCTATCCCCTAATACTCCAATCGTGAACGCTTCATCAACATGCTTTCCTCCTTTCATAGTACAATTTGGAAACAAAAACCTCTTTTGTCACATCGACTAAGTGGTAGAGAATAGGCAGGAGAACTGTTTGCTATGGCAACGGTTATAGCATATGGGGGAGAACTAGAAGAGGAAATGCTATGTATGCTGTCTTGAGCTCCTGGAAGAAAAGTGAAATATAAATCTGTTAAACTCAGTTAGCTCTTTATCAATGCCCAAGTAAATAATGTTGTTTGTCTAAACTCTAAAAGAAACCACCATTTTCTATTAATGATGCTTTTAGCATGTTCATCTTCATGTCTTCTTCTCAATTCCTTTACCCATGCAATCTACAGCTTCCAAAATTTAATTTTTAGGGGTGCATCTGGTTACTAAGAAGTTTCAGTGAGAAGATATTTCAGGATATTCCACCTTCTTTTCCTGAGCAATTTCACTTGCCTGGCTTCCCTCAGAATTAAGAAAGAACATTTCCCTTAAGTAGAAAGTTTGTCACAAATGAGTCCTCCTCTGCCCCCACCAACCCCCCCCCCCCCGTTGCCCATTAGAAGAAAGCTAGAAAGTTGGAAGCCACTAGTATGAACTCCATTCTAATACTGTATATCGTTTTGTGTCATCAATGTATCATTATGCAGAGGTTAATTGACCTGCACATTTAAATCTAACATCCCCTAACCCCTATCAAGTGTGGTTTATAACAGTCTCAGAGCAATTTGCAGCTTTAGG